CTCCAAAAACATAAAGAAGATAGAACCAACAAGAGAAAAGTTTATAAACCAACTTGTGAGACAGATAGGACAATTCAAATATTTAGTGATCTTCTAGGTCCAGAGAGCAAAAGTGGCCAAAACTCACATAACAGGGGACATACCCTTTTAGAAGAAATAATTTTGGGTACCTTTGACTTTGACATTTGAATTCCTACTTAAGACAGGAGTCAAGCTTTAAGAACAGGAATATAAAGAATGGATATATTGATATTTGGATGGATATATTGATGTTTGAAAATGTAGTACAGATCTCAAGCTCTGTAACAGTCTCTTGGAAACATTGCTGGGTTCTGAATTGAGCACTTTTAGGTTCACTGCAAAATGGAGCAGAAGGTACAGAGATTTCCAGTATAGCCCTTGCTCCCATGCATGCATAGCCTCCCCTATTATCAGTATCCCCCACCAGAGTGGTACATTCGTTACAATTGATGAACCTACATTGGCACATCGTAATCAACCAAAATCTATAGTTTGCATTATAATTCACTCTTGGTGGTGTGTATTCTGTGGATTTGGACAAATGCATAATGATGTGTATCATCATTATGATACCATTCTCAGTATTTTCACTGCCCTAAAAATCCTCTGTGTTCTACCTATGCCCCACCCAACCCCCGGCCCCAGCCCCCCTGTCCCCAGTCCTGGGCAACCACTGATCTGTTTACTGTCTCCATAGTTTTCCCTTTTCTAGAATGTCATATAGTTGGAATCATACAGTAGGTAGTCTTTTCAGATTGGCAGTTTTCGCTTAGTAATATGCATTTAAGGTTCTTCCATGTCTTCTCGTAGCTCTCAATTGATTTTTCATTTATATCAAAGAAGATCTGAAAACAGAGCACACATTTAGAGTGTATGGCGTTTGTTCTATATAAGTAAACAAGTGACTTTTCCTCTTCTATATAGTTAAATGGATTATACTCCATTTTCATCTTTTTTCCTCTGCTTTGTTAGCCTACCTCAGAATATCTTATAACAGCTAGCCCTGTAGTTCTCAAGCAAATTGGTAATAATCAATTGCTTCTTCTTTCAACCTTTACTTTTTTGGGGGTTGAGGGGGAACCATTCAACACAATGATATATAAAAAGTTAAAGGAAGTGCTGGCCCATTGGCATGGTGGTGAAGTTCGTGCACTCCGCTTTGGCAGCCCGGGTCCGTGGGTTCGGATCCCAGGCGCAGACCTATGCACTGCTTATTAAGCCATGCTATGGCAGGCGTCCCACATATAAAATAGAGGGAAATGGGAAATGGGCATAGCTGTTAGCTCAGGCCCAGTCTTCCTCAGGAAAAAGAGGAGGATTGGCAATGGATGTTAGCTCAGGGCTAATCTTTCTCACCAAAAAAAATTAAAGGGTTGTTTTACATTTTTACAAGTAGAAACATTTGTATAGATTATCAGGTAGTTATACCACAAATTATAACTACCAAAACAACAATATCTTTGTTGCAGAATAAACCTGTCATTTAGAGATATTTGTCAAGGAAGAATTTTTCTTTTAAAATAATTTATTGAAAATAAACCACAAAAGTTTTATCATCTTTGGACCATCTTCCAGTATATAAAAATAGTCTTATAAAAATCAGATCTTAAAATAATTGTTTAAGTGGGATTATATTGGATGTGGACATGGATAAGGAAGATGATGAAAGCACATTAAGCTTTCTGGAAGACAGTTTGGTAGCATGTATTAAGACCTTAAAAAACATGAGTATCATATCCTTCGATCTAGTAAGTAAACCCCTACGCTATCCTAAGGAAGGAACAGGGACATAGAAAGACTGACTTAGAGCTAGCTATACTCATTTCAGTATTACTATTTCTAGGGACAATTTGGAAACAATGTAAATGTCAATGATAAGGAAATGGTTTCTCAAGGTAGTACAGTGAAATGGCATGCCTTGAATTATAGTCTATAGTCAGTGAAGGGGGAGGAAGAAGAGTATCCTCTACCCACTCTGGGTCCTTCCTGTCTGGGCTACAAATTAAATTGACATGAGACCAAATAGCAGGAGAAAATCAAAGTTTAATAACAGGTGTACATGGGAGAAACCAGGGAAACTGAGTTTCTCAACAAATGGCAGAGGTTTTTCACCTTAAATAGATTTAGATAAAGACAAAGGAGGATGTTGGGGGTGGGGGAGGGGATAGCTATGGGGCATTTCAGAGGGGAAGAAGACAATTCATATGGAGATGGAAATGCAAATATTTGTCTGCCAACCCTTTACAGGGCCACCTAGAGAATGTGGGCTGGGAGAGACAGAATTTTTGTTAAGATGGGCTTGTTGGTGCCTTTCCTATTGCAGCATCTATTTTACATTATACTACAGCCATCATGTGGTAGTGGCTCCCTCCTGGAACAGGCCTTCTATGTTAAATTTTTTAGGCGGTTTGGGGGAGGTCAAATGTCCGTCAGAGAAAATAATCAAGGCAAAGAGATATGTTTCGGGTTGGCCAAATTTTGATCTCCCACGTCAGCATGTAGGGCACAAATTTTGTATAGTCATAATTATCTTTGAAAATCCCTTAGAGAGGCCATGTTGGTATATATCCTGTCTTAATACATCCAACAAAACTAGTTTTTCCTTCAGAGGGGAATAGATGGCTATTTCTTTGATTAGGAGCCAAGAATGTGTGAAAAATACCTGTTTAAACATTAGAATCACAGAGCAATAGCTACTCACAGAAAGTTAAGAACTGAGGCTTTTCCCATCTCATCCTTACTCTGGGGCATGTGCCAATGATTGAAATCATAAACACTGATGATTTAAATTTATGTAATTTAAGTGTACACATAATGCAACTCCACTGGACTTAGATTCCATCGATATAGAAACTGCAAAATGAATAGAATGAAATGTACCCAAAAAACTTTAACAGTGATCGTCTTTGGGTGAGTTTTGTTTTGTTTATACTGTTCTAATTTTTCTATAGTGAACATACATTTTTTAAGTAGTAAAAACTTATTTAAAATTATCCTGCACAATGTTGAAAATTATGCCTTCTTTGACCTATCTCACCCAGATACTGGAAGGATTACTGAGATATTTGCTTAGCTATTATTTAAAAGCTGTACTTAGATAGATCACATGTAAATTTATGGTACATTGTGTGTCCTAAAAATTACCTTATAGACAGAATGAAAGGGCACCAGGAAAACCTCTGATTTTTCCTTGGATTATCACTCTGCATAGTGGATATCAGGGGGAAAGAGAAAAGGGGATTTTGATAGCTAGGAAGGACCTAGTTTATAAAGAGGACAGGTTTTTTTTTTTTTTTTTTTAATGCAGCTATTGCATTGTATTTAATTTACCATGTACTGGCTCTGATGTCAGGAATGTACTAGGCTTTTTGTCTATGTAATGTCATTAACAACACTTCGAGGTGAATATCTTTTCTTTTTTTTTTTTAATTTTAACAGTTTATTTATTTTTTTAAATATTTATTTTACAGTTGAAGTAGTTAAAATGGGAGAGGTAAAACAGCTTACTCATGACCACACAGCTAGTTAAGGGGCAGACTTGTCTAATTTCATGATAAAATACTGCCTCTTGAGTCTGTGGTCATATCTTTTATTACCATATATGGTATTCAGCATGCATTCTGCAAATGAATAGCCATGCTCTTAGGGGTCTGTACATGTTAGCTGATTGCTTTCAGAGAGTAGGCACATTTATTATTTTACATGCTCCTAAGTCCATAGTATTTGGAGTGATAAATAGAACCCCAACACTGTCTTCTCAGTCTTACTTCCTTTTGTTTCCCTGTATTTAAAATAAGAAATTTTTGTACCTTAAAAGTATAAGATTAAAGGAATCGGCCAGGTGTACAATAATTATAAGTGGCAGAGCTATAATTAGGGACTCATTCTTATGACTTGGGGCCACTTTTTTTTTTTTTTTTTTTGGTGGGGAAGATCAGCCCTGAGATAGCATCCGTGCCAATCCTCCTCTTTTTTTTTTTTTTCCTGAGGAAGACTGGCCCTGAGCTAACATCTGTGCCCATCTTCCTCCACTTTATATGGGATGCCACCACAGCGTGGCCTGGGAAGCGGTGCATCGGTACGCACCTGGGATCCAAACCTGGGCTGCCAGCAGTGGAGCGCGTGCACTTAACCGCTACGCCACGGGGCCGCCCCAACTTGGGTCCACTTTTGGTTCTAAATGCTGCCTCATCATCTTTGCCGTCATAATCCTTATTCTCTTACACCCCACCCCCGCTTTTGTAAAGAAAGGAACAAGAGGTAGTGTACAGAAGAAAATCATAAACAGATTTATATTCATAATTGTTATGCATGGACACAAAATAAGCTTGCATAGATGCCATAAAAATCTTTTCTGAGTTTTATGAAACAGTTGAAACATAAAGAGAGACAAAGAAAAGGTCATATAGAGCCTTGAATAGCCATCAGATTAAGTGAACTGATGTCAACTTAGTTTCCTTTTTTCTGTTTAGTCTTATGTACAATACTGATAGAAAATCGGTCTGGCCGCTGCAATTTCTGTAGTCATTGCTGATACCTACTTCTCCCATTGCTTCTGAAGTAATTGGTATCAGAAAGGCGATTAATTAGTTTGATGTTATCTATAAAATCTTTTTAGTCATTTTAGAAGTCATCTTTTGAAAAAATAAGGTAGCAGAAATTGAGTAGGAAGAGCGCAGGCTTTGGTGTTAGCACACCTGAGTTGAGTTTTTATTTTGTTTCTTTTTTCAGACCTGGGTTAAAATTTGGCTCTGTTCTTAGCTAGCTGTCTGACCTTGATCTAGTTATTTAACCCTTAAGTGTCTTAGAATTGTTGGGAGGATAACTTGTGCTGTCATATATGAATGACTCCTATCTCAATGCCTGGCATAGAGGAAGTACTTGGTGCTCCCTTTTTTCCTTCTCACCTCATTCCCTTTTATCTGAAGTTTTTAATATGTTTTTTTCTATTCTAGGTGGATTGTAGACATGGAAGGTGCACCAGGTACCTTATATGAAGGGGAAAAATTTCAACTTCTATTTAAGTTTAGTAGTCGATATCCTTTTGACTCTCCTCAGGTAACTGCCTTGCTTTTTAAAATTTTATTGTATTTTTAGATTATAGCAAAATGCTAAATTAGTGATTTTTAACTTAGTAAAAACTTATAAAAGAAATTCATCATAATTATATGAATAGATTTGTTCCTTTATCTTATTTGTAATATAATCAAAATCTTATGAACATTTTACTTTATTGAGATTAGGGCTTTGCTGCTGTTGTACTTCTAAGAACATAAGACTGTTTCTTATCCATAGATGTTAGCAGAAAAAGGGATGGGAATCTAACCCAGGCCCGTGGCTTATGGGAGAACCTAGCATTTTGGAATAACTATAGGCACTTCTTCCTAGATAAGATGATGGAATGACATTGTCAAGAGGCGAGTGCTTTGCTGAAAGGAGCACTTCTTTGATTTTGCATTGACAGGCTGTCTTTGCAGCCTTTTAGTACTGTACTGCAAGGGCAGAATATATTACAAGATGGTAACTAGACATCAGCCCAGAATCTGATCATTATAATTTGAGGCAGTCAGTTTAGTTAATGGCTTAATACTTGGACAAGGGATAATGGTGATAGAGGAACATTTTTGAGAGCTGTTTAACTCTGGTGAATGATTAATCATTGGAGGTTAGAGAAAGGGAGACTCTAGGATGACTTCCAGATTTCTGGCTTAGTAAGATGGGTAAATGAGTTACTAGTGACAAAGTGATAAGACTTAATGCCAACTCTATTTAGTATTGCTAGGTATTGAGGTGTTCTGGATAATAAAGTTTCCCAAATACCTGAAATTCAACTTGTTAGGTGCTAAAATATGCTATTTTTGAGGGAAATCCTATTTCATATCCACTTTAAATAGACTATACCAAACATAGCTTAATCTTCTCTTGGCCATGTGGGATTAGAGATGAAAGTCAGTTATTGTTTTGTGCTGTAGATAAGAGAGAATTGTTTTAAAGCATAGAATTAAATGAAAACTGACTCCTTTAGTTGTCAGGTTTTCATGTGAGCAGAAAATTAAGACTTTAGGGGCTCATTTTTATCATTTTCATGAAAATAAAGTGAAGGAGTATATCTTGTCACCTCTATAATAAGCATCTGTAGACTATAATCAAAAACCAAAGCAAAAGACTTTCTTCTCTCCAGAAAATGATCTTCGCTTTCTGGTTTTGCCTTTTTGACTTATCAGCATCATTTCTGAATGTTAATGCTCAAAGGCAGTGGGGTCTCAGGTATCCCCTTGTCACCTTCAGTCTATTCCTCTACCTCACTTGAGCTGTTTGTTGAAGGTCCATGAAGGAAGAATACAACTCAGAAGCTTTTGACTAGGGGGATATTGGAGAAGGCTTACTCTGGAAAGCAATATTTCTGTAAACATGAAACTTAAGTCAAAAGTGTTCTCTAAACTCTCTCCTTAGTATTTAATTCTAAATCAAATATCAAACTTAAGCATCATTTGAATTTCATCTTTGATATTTCCGTAAGTTAGAGCATTTGTAATAAATTCTCTCTATCATCTTATCTCAAATTCTTTTTATTGTCCTTCCCTGGTTTTATTTCTGCCTGCTCTTCTGATTTTGGTGTTCTCCCGGTTCTTATTCAACACTCCCTTGCTCTTCTCACTCTTTTTCTCTAATGTCTTCAACTGTGTTAAGCAGCTGGCTCCCAGATCTACAGCTCTGTGTACAACCTCTTCTTTTTGGGGTTTAATTTCACCCCTTGTTGGATATCTCTACTTAAATACCTCCAGATGTCTCAAATTTAACACATCTAAACTCAATCTTTTCCAATAACAAAATAAGGAAAAAAACTTTTTTCTTTGGTTACTGTCTACCTATTTGCTTGTGTTAAAATTCTTCCCTTTCCACTATTAAATGCAATTTTTCTGGTCTTTTCTCAGTGCTTAAGTCAGTCTACTCTTCTTGTCTTACTGTCAGTGCTGTAGTCCAACCTTTATCTTTCATTTGGACTATTACAAAATAGCCTCTAGGTCTTTCCACTCTTAGCCATCCTTTCACAGTGCCTTTAGATTTTTTTTGAAGAAAGCTACAGTCACTACCGTCTCCACCCTCCTCAGGTTCTTTATTTCCTGTGGAATCAAGTCTAAATACTCTTTAGTTTAGCATTCGAGTCCCTTTATGGTCAAGTCTGGACTTAACCATTTCAGCCACACATCACCTCTTATGTATTCTATAGTAATATTTGTGTCATACTTTATAATGTAATTTCCATTCTGATTTTATCTTGTAACAGCTCTTAATGAAGTGGTTAGGGGAGATGGAGTCATCCTCATTTTATAATTGAAGAAACTGAAGCCTGTAGAAGTAAAGTCTTGTTCATGGTTAATATGAAGCTAGTAGTAGCTAGTAGAACAGTCAAGACTCAACCCAAGTTACTTCTCTCCCATACTGCCAATTAGGTGTGAGTACCAGCATGGGAAAAATGGCTATCTGTTCAGTAATGTTATCTCTGAAAGTGAAAGATTATATGTAGAATGATACCTTAGAAGGCTCTAGGGCAGTTGTTCCCAATCTTTTGAAATATGAGGATTCTTTTTTTTTTTTTTTTTTTAGGAAGATTAGCCCTGAACTAACATCTGTTGCCAATCCTCCTCTTTTTTGCTGAGGAAGATTGGCCCTGGGCTGACATCCATGCCTATCTTCCTCCACTTTATATGGGATGCCAGCACAGCATGGCTTGATAAGTGGTCTGTAGGTTTGTGCCCGGGATCTGAACCTGCGAACCCTGGGCGGCAGAAGTGGAGCGCACGAACCCAACCGCTACACCACCAGGCCGACCCCTGAGGATTCCTTTTTTAACATCAATTTTGTAGTCCCTCCTGTGTCATAGAAGTTATATATTCTAATATCCATGATTGAGAACATGACGCAGCTTCTCTGAGTCCAGTAATACTTTAAAATTACTTTTTAAATTTTATTAATCACATTATCTGTATGGTTATAAAATAATTATAATGGGTCTAACAGTCAGTGATTGATGTGCATGTAGATTTCAAGATTTTTCCAGTAACTGAACCTTTCCAGAGGTTCATTGCCCTGGGGAAGTGGTTGGAACCACTCTAGGGCAGTAAAATTCCCCATTTACCAAAGATTGTGTCTGATGAGACCCAGCAGCATTGGCATTCGTTAGATAATTAGTCTTTTATTTTCCTATGCACTAAGCAGTACTAAATTTACCACTACTTACAAGAGTAGAGTTTGGGGAAATATCACTAGAATAGACCAGTCTCATGAAATTATTACTTTTGTATTTGTAAGTAAGATCTATAAGACCCTTTATAGTTTGGTGTGTTTTTTGCCCTACTAGTTAAGATTAATTTCTCATGTATCTCACTTTACTATGAAAAATAGCCTATCTAAAAGATGGTGTTTAGCCCAGTCATTTGCTTTAAAGGAAACAATAACAACAACAAAAAACTTTTTCAGTTAATATGGGAGCAGAGATGAGGCATCTTTTCATCACTGTTTTCTTTTTTTTTTTTTTGGTAAGGAAGATCAGCCCTGAGCTAACATCCGTTGCCAATCCTCCTCTTTTTTGCTGAGGAAGACTGGCCCTGGGCTAACATCCATGCCCATCTTCCTCTGCTTTATATGGGACGCTGCCACAGCATGGCTTGACAAGCGGTGCGTTGGTCCGCGCCCAGGATCCCAACCTGTGAACCCCAGGCCGCCGAAGCAAAGCACGCGAACTTAACCGCTACACCACTGGGCCAGCCCCATCATCACTGTTTTTTATTAATGTGCACGTAGCATCAGCCGTACAGAAAATAAAATATCTTTATTTATGTATTCTATTTTTCTATGCTAGGATACATGTAAATGGTTGGTTAATTTAATGTGTATTGAGCATGAATTGTGTGCGAAATGCTATTCTGTGTACTTTAGAGATGGGGGAGACTACAGAAGTTACAAAGGCATTGGGCCTGCCTTTAAACAGCTTATAATCTGTTTAGTATTTGGATAGGTAGACGTTTATTTATTCTGTAATTATCGAGCACATATCATAGGATAGACACTGTACTAGGTGTTAGCGATTCAGTGGTCAACAACATGGCAAAAAATAAAACCCTGCGTATGTGGAGTTTGCATTCTTGTAGAAAGAGACAGACAATAAACAATAAGTAAAACACATATAGAATGAAAGATGATGAAAAAAAAGTAGAAAAAGGGAATGAGGGTGCTGTAGCCTTGGATAGAATGATCAGGAAAGATTTCACTGAGAAGGTGACATTGGAGCAGCGCTGTGAAAGAGGTGAGGTGCGTGAGTAAGCCATGTGAAAAAGGTGAGAGAGAGCAGGTGAAGAGAGCGAGCAATGCGAAGACCCTGAATATGGAGCACACCTAGTGAGGTCCCTGGAGTGGTACGTAAGCAAGAGGGGGAGTGTAGAGCCTAGGTCAGAGAGAGAAATTTGGGCTAGAGGGTCCAGCACAGATTGTATAGGACATTTATAGCCCATTGTAAGAATTTTGACTTGTACTCTGAATGATATTGGAAGTCTCTTAAGATTTTGAGCAGAGGAATACCATGATTCTACATAAAATTACAAGGGAAAATCTGACTGTTGTGTGGCAAATTGAGTGTTGGGGGCACAAGAATACAGGGAGGCCAGATAAGCTATTGCAGTCATCCAGGTGAAAGGTGGAGGGACTTGCACCACAAGGTAGCAGTGGAGGTTGTGGGAGGTGGCCATGTTTTGGACCTATTTTAAAGGTTGAGTCATCAGAATTTGCTGATGGATTGATGTGAAATATGAATGAAGGAAAGGAGTCAAGGAAGACTCCACAGTTTGGCCTGTGCAACTGGAAGGACAATAAATTGAAGTATGAATCGTATGCCTTGGGAGTAAAAGAGAAAACAGCGACCAATTTAGAATAGAATGAGGGGGCAAAGGAAACTTGTTTGCACTGGGACTTAAAGAACCAGGAACGTTTATGTCAAAAGTGCAGCAAGGCTTGAAAGGGTGTGGCCTCTTCTGAGATTTGTGAGCATGTGCTGTTGTAGT